TTTTGAAGTGTCGTATATTGATTCAATTGTCCAAAACACAAACATACAAAGAATGAAAAATGCTCCTTGTTATAAGAATGCAAGATTCATTTTGATTTGGTTGTCCGCTGAATTTTTAACATTCTCAACTGTCATTTGAATGTAGAGACGTCTGAGTTACAGAGATAATGAATGAGAACCACACGTTTTAATCCATTTAATGTATGAATCCAGACATTTATTTGGATATTTCACAGTAAAAACCAAACATATGTTAGAGATGACAAAGGCTTTGCCACATTTAGATGCACTAAAGGTCAGATTTGCTGTTAGTTCTTCATATGTGAGACTCTTTTGCAACAATTAGCAGTTTGCTCGCGTAAGCATACTGCAGGTAATGCTGAGTGATGGAGAAGGCTCGGCAGGTTGCCCGAGTGTACGGCTCTTCAAACAAAAACAAAAAGTCACACCCTAACCTCGAGTGTTTTTATTAACACCTTGAGGTGTAAATGCTGGGTTTGATCCCCCAAACATGTAGACTGCTCACTGCCTGATGTCAGATCACATCTGTAGCTGGTGCTACAAAGTGTGCCAACATGTTTCCCCTCTCTAAGCCTTTCTTCTCTTAAGCATCTCCAGATACATCCCCAGTGACTTCTGAATAGAGTCCTTGGTGATGAACTTGACAAAGTTATTGACATCAGCCTCTCTGTTAGCCGCCAGCTTGTCTATGGTTGGCTTCCTCATCATGGACTTTGTGAGCTGTCTGGCGTGATCTGCAAATGAAACAAATGCACATGTAAGGAAGCTGTGCATTCATATACAATTTCTTCTATGAATACTGACATGGGCTTCAATTCATTGCAAAATATATTCAATTGCAGCACTATTGTGGAGCACCTTTTATTTCTTATGTGGGAAAGTGACATTTCTAACAGGTGCTGAAAGCTTATGCTCTTTCTCTGCCTCCTGCACATCCTGCCAAGTACCAGGATGTACTAAATACTGCTGTACAGATGGAAATACACCCATATCGACACTTCTGAGGTACGAGGTTACGTCTCCCTACATGCGGGTTCGTGCCACCTCACCTTAAAACAAACATACACTGATAGCAGCTCATTTTTTTCTTACCTGCCTTGGAAATGTTACCTGCAATTTTATTACCCAAATGGTAAATGGACTGGTTCTTATGTAGCGCTTTTCTACTCATCTGAGCGCTCAAAGCACTTTACACAACTTGTGCATTCACCCATTCACACAAGCACATCTTTCTAAGTGCTTCATAGCTAACGTTCACACACATTCAGAGCAATTTGGGGTTAGTATCTTGCCCAAGGATATTTGGCACATAGACCAGGGGAAGCCAGGAGTCGAGCCACCAACCTTCCGATCAGTGGATGACCTGCTCCACCCACCTGAGCTACACAAATAAATCTACTTTAAATAAAACATCATTTCCTTGTCTTTGATAGTGTGCAGGAACTCTGGTTTTACTCCCCATGATGCAGTAGACTGCAGAACTACCTTG